CTAGAGAAAAGGGCAAAGTTCAAAGATGTGAGGTTGTAGCTATCAGCAAATGGATAGAACTGAAATAAAATGCATTTCAAACCAAAACCACCCCAGCCTGAGCTAAGGAACTGTCCCTCCTCAGAGCGGATTCGTCCAGAGACAGAAAACAGGCAGAGTTGCTCAGCCCTACTCTGCTACCAGACAAGAAGGGCACATCCTCCAGGACTCTTTCAAATGTGGATGCCAGCAATGCATTAAAGGAAACAACTAACAGAGTAACTAACAAAGAGAGAGATCCTCCATCCCTGGTTCACTCTCCAAATGGCCACAATGGTCTAGGCTGGGCTGATCCAAAGCCAGGAGTTTCTTCCAGGTCTCCCACATGCGTTCATAGGCCCAAGCACCCAGGCCACCCTCCACTGTGTTCCTAGGCCATCGGCAAGGAGCTAGATGAGAAGAGCAGCAGCTGATACTCGAATGACCACCAGTGCCCATATGGGATGCCGGCATCACTGGAGGAGGCTTAACCTACTACACCACAGGGGCAGCTCCTATTTTATTTAAATATTACAATGGTATGCGTGTCATTTTTGTACTTTTCCAGTATTTCATGTATTTCAAAGACATACTACTACGCTATCAAGAAATGTATGAATAACTTGCAGCATTGTGAGGATCATTATTATCATGTCAAAGAGGTCTAGGGTGTGAAGGAAGAGGAGGCTATGGATATCACCCAGATTACTATGAAGATTATTATGATTACTATGGCTATGATTACCAAACTATCATGGTGTCAGCCCACATATTATCTCCAGCAAGGACACCAGAGCATGTGCTGACAAACTGTCTATGCCCTGAGTGACAAGTCAATGAGACAAAAACAAACTATACATGCTGTATTGCCAATAGCTTTGGAAATCTGGTGGGATATAAGCAAACTATAATGAAGAAAAACAAGTATTTTTTTAAAAAGCATAAAATGGTGACTTGATCAGCATAGCCCTGACTGTTAATGAACAACTTAATACATTATCCCTCTTAGTAGTTTTTTTGTCTGCTCTACTTAATATGACTGGTTTAATTCTGTAATTAATACACAGTTATTCTTAAGTGTTGAAATTTAACTGAAATGTGATCCCTGTTAAACATAAGAGTAGGAATAAGAGAGGGAAGAGATGTACAATTTGGGGCATGCTCAAGCCCCAAATGGTAGAGTTGGAAACATACCAGGGGACTCCAATTTAATCCCATCAAGGTGGCATGTACCAATGCCATCTCACCAGTCCAAGTGATCAATTTCAGTTCACAATTGATCATAATGAAAGGACTGAGAGTCAAAGGAAGCACATAAACAAGTCTAGTACCTGCTAATACTAACTGATAGAATAAATAAAGGGGAGAGTGATCCAACATGGGAAGCAAGATACTCAGCAGACTCATAGAATGGTGGATGTCCTAAACAGCACTCTGGCCTCAGAATCAGCCCTAAAGGCATTCTGATCTGGCTGAAAAGCCCATGAGAGTATTTCAGGCATGGAAAGCCAAGACACTCTGGCAAAAAAAAAAAAAAAAACTAAATGAAAGATCTCTGTGAGTGAGATCCCAGTGGAAAGAACAGGTCTTCAAAGAAGGAGGTACCTTTCTCTGAAGGGAGGAGAGAACCTCCACTTTGACTATGACCTTGTCTAAACAAGATAAGAGTCGGTGAACTCAAAAGGCTTCCATAGCCTTCGAAGCTCATGACTGGTGCATAGGGAGATTAGTGATGCCATAAACAGGAGTGTCAATTGGTAAAGTCAACAGCAGGAGTCACTGTGCACTTACTCCTCATGTAGGATCTCTGTCCTCAATGTGCTGTACATTGAGACTTAATGCTATAATGAGTACTCAAACAGTATATTTCGCTTTGTGTTTCTCTGTGGGTGCAAACTGTTGAAATCTTTACTTAAGGTATACTAAACTGATCTTCTGTAAAAAAAAAAATTAAATTATCAATTCCCAACTTGACTCTCACTGGGATTAAACATGACAATAGGTCTGATCTGATTTCATCATCATTTAAAAAAAAATCATCTATTATTTTTCACTTTATGTTTCTGTTTGGGAGCAAACTGTTGAAATCTTTACTTAATGTATGCTAAACTGATCTTCTGTATATAAAGAGAATCAAAAATGAATCCTCATGTGAATGGAAGGGGAGAGGGAGTGGGAAAGGGGAGGGATGTGGGTGGGAGAGACGATATGGGGGGAAAGCCATTGTAATCCATAAGCCGTACTTTGGAAATTTATATTCATTAAATAAAAGTTAAAAAAATTAAAAAAAAGCATATGGCATATGGCAGGGCTGGCCCTGTGGCATAGTGGGTAAAGCTGGCATCTGCAGTACTGGCATCCCATATGCACACCTGTTGAAGCCCAGGCTGCTCCATTTCCAATCCAGCTCTCTGCTATGGCCTGGGAAAGCAGTAGAAAATGGCCCAAGTCCTTGGACCCCTGCACCTGTGTGGGAGACCTGGAGGAAGCTCCTGGCTCCTGGTTTTAGATTGGTGCAACTCCGGCTGATGCTGCCAATTGGGGGTGAACCAGTGGATGGAAGATCTCTCTCTCTCTCTCTCTCTCTGCCTCTCTTTCTCTCTGTGTGTAACTCTGACATGAAAAAAATAAATAAATTTATATTTTTAAAAAATCATATGGCACAGTTACTTTGAAGTATCAATTACTTTCACATGAATTTACATAATATAAAACCACATTTAATCTAAATATTATCATGTCCATAGGTGAAATAATTCCTTACCTGTGCAGCACTAAGAAGGTGTGCTAATAAACTACAATTACTTCATGGTGCTCTCTCTCAGCATCCTAGAAATGTGGACAGATTAGAAAATCAGCATTCATATGTCCAAACAGAGGCCTCTCTCCATACCTGGAACTCTATGCTGACGGAAATAGGACACTCTCACCCTGACAGGGCTGTCTTACTTGAGACACAAACTTCATCTTTATCTTCCAGAAAACTGAGGTATGAATACTGACAATATATGCAATATAATTCTATTTATTTAATGAAACTCATCTCAGTATACCCCTTACAAAAGAAATACCAAGTTAAGAATTAATTTCACATAAATTCTAAAGTTTAAGAACAAACTTAGTTTCCTGTTATAAAAAAATTTTACCATTCATTTGAGAGGCAGAGAAAGAGACACAGAGACAACCCCCATCCACTAGCTCACTCCACAAATGCCCAAAACTCATTCTGCTGGCCTGGACCCAAGTCTTTAAGCCAACACCTGCAGCCTCCCCAGAGTGCATGTTAGCAGAAAGCTGGAATTGAGAGCATAGCCAGCAGTCAAACACCAGTACTACCGTGTGGAACGTGCGCATCTTAACCACGAGGGCAAAAGGCCCACTTCAGTCTTCTTAAGTAATGCAGTCCTGTGTCCCTTAACAAGAGGGTACATTCTCAGAAATGGGTCACTAGGCAATTGTGTCACCCTGTGAGCATCACAGAGTGATTCACACACACAGATGGATATGAGGTCCCTGGGCAGCACCACCACATGAGTGATCATTGGCTCAAGCACTGTGATGTGGCACACGACTGCACAGAAATCCCTATGAGGGGACAGACACAGTCTGCAGATGATGATCAGAACACAAGGAGGAGGGGATCTCCTCCAGCAGAGCGTGAGATGTCAAGAGCACAGCTCACGTTAATGCCCTGCTCCAATCAACAGCCGTGTTATTTAAGACAACTTTGTGGTAAAGAGAAAGCAACTGGGAGGCTGATTAAAGCAGTGGGATGAACACAGGCTGTACCGTCAGACACATGGGACTTGTGCAGCCTGGCTACTGCCCCTTTACTTTTCTGAGGCTCTGTGTCCTTACTGGTGAAAGCTGAAAAATCATTCAGCATTAAGAAAATCAAACCCAGTGACATAAGTATGCCTAGCACCTAGCATGTGCTCAACAAACGGAACTAGAAGGCAATGTCAATAATTAGCAATTAAAATTATATACTTCTATACTCAGAACCAAGTTCCCAACAAGCATTTAAACACTAGATAACAAGGCATGATATGCCAGAATGAGGACCTGACCTCTCTGAGGAGGGCTGGGGCTGGGCTGTTTCACTCAACAACCTACCTGGCAGGTAGAAGCTTTAATAACTGCTTGTCAGATTCATAAAACAATAACCTTCACACCTCATCTTCCTACTACAAAGCTACTGCAAATACTAGATTCAAAATACCACTGAGTACCTGTTCTGTAAATTATATGCAAGAGAAGAAGGAGAAGCTACACACCCTGCTCTGAAAGATCAACCGCACAATTCAAAAGTGTAATGCCTGCTTCAAATGGATGGAAAAGAAAAAAAAGAAATAAAAGAGAAAGAAACTCAAGTGCTTTGGAAGAAGAACCGTGTGAGCACTTAGGCTATGTTGCTCAGTGAGGGCAACAGGTGACAGGATAAGACATTACAGAATGTAGAATTCAACTCAGTGAGAAGGGCAGGACGTGATGGGTGAGGAGATAAGTCCACAGAACTATATGGCGACACAATGATGATGAGCTGGAGGCTCGGTCCGTGGGGACAAGTGAGAGCCAAGGTCAAGTCTAGGATGCTCCCCAGGGTCATGGGTTCCTTGCAAACCAGAAACATCTTTCTGATCCTCCCCTGCATCCCCAATCCTTACATGTCATATAAACCACTGGATCACCTATGAGACAAGTGAACCTGAGTCTTATCTTCCTACAACTCTCGGCTGCACCAAATGCAGCAAAAGACAGAAAAGTGCTTTTGATTTTGTGTTATCCCACTTTTATAACATTCAGAATTTCTCACACAGCAGCAGTTTAACTACACAGGTGGTAGTGAGTGGTGCCTTTGTTAAAACTGTTATGAGCCTGTCTGTGGGATCCCCTTAAATAACCCATTCTCCTTCTACTCTGGGAGGCATGTTCTGGGGCTTCTAACCAGAGCCATGCAGGCTGTTTGGCACCTACTTACCATCTTTGGCTTCAAGTGTTTTAGCAGATTCTTGAATTCTTCTCTGCAGCTGTTGTTCCTTCTGATCCTTGATCTCCTGCTCCAGGTTGAAATGTAGAAATTCCTTCTCTTCTTTTGTGGGCAGCTCTTTCTTTTTGGCATGCAAAACCTCCTCACAGACTTCCTCATACTTTCTATTCAGATTGGCCAGTCTTTCATTTAAGTAGCAATCTGTGCCTCCAAATCACTTTTCATTGCCTGTGTTTAGACAAATCAACTACCTCTCTAGTTTCCAACTGTTTTAATGCTTGCTGAGTCCTCTGAACCTCGGACTGGAGTTTGGAGACGTCTTCAGTTCTACGTTGGCTCTCCTCTTCCTTTTCTCTCAGATGAGCCCAGATGAGTCCAACCTCCTTCTCCAAAGTTCCCTTCACCTGCAAGTGCTCGGCCAGGGCCACAGAAGAGTTCTTCTGATTCTCCCTTCACCTGGTCAGAATATTTTGAAAGTTCTGTTCATTGAAGTCTACTTCTGGCAGAACAAAGAAGGAAAACAGCTGTTACCTCAGCGCTCTATTTTCTTTCTTTGCCCATTCAAACCATCTACACATAACACACGAATATCAACTGTAGCAAAACACATTTACTTACTCCGTCTTTGTCTTTTGGCATATAATGTGCTCAGAACACCTGAAAGCCAACAGAACTCTTAAATAAAAACCAGGACTTCAATTTTAAATGTACAATAATTTCACAGAATTACATATTATTTACATATTATTTAAGTAGTAATAAGAGATATGAATTCTTAATTCTCTCACTGTAAATTCTATTATGTTCTTTCAGTTATAGAAATAGCAACCAAATGAACCGAGCTGGTAGGACACTTCAAGAAAACATGGGGCAACTCAGAAAAAAGAGAGAAGTTCCCTCTCTCAATCAGGATAAGCTAGTATTTAGTACACATCTGAGTACACCACGTGATTGATGTCTTGTCCGCTCTACTAAAGAGTGACCAAAAAATGGATTATAACTAGTCATCTTGGTAAAAGAGTTCAACTACAAGAATGTGCAATCAGAAAAGATTAGATTTCCCTTGTTTTATTCTCCCCATATGACCTTTACAGGTACTGACTCTGATGCAGGTTATCTGCTATGAATACATCTTATTAATAGGCAGACCTTAGGGTTATTGACTTTAATCTGAACTAACTTCGTTCAGATCAAGAAAATGGACATCATGAAATAATTTCCCAGACATGGTTTGTTTCTACACTATCTATGAACTTATCAATCACCATTAGGCTAGACTACTATAATTTACCAAGAAATAGCTAACACGGCTTCATGACTTCTATATCTGTTTTTTTTTTTTTTTTTTGAGAGGCAGAGTGGACAGTGAGAGAGAGAGACAGAGAGAAAGGTCCTCCCTTTGCTGCTGGTTCACCCTCCAATGGCCACCGCGGCTGGCACGCTGCGGCCGGTACTTTGCACTGATCTGATGGCAGGAGCCAGGTGCCTATCCCAGTCTCCCATGGTGTACAGGTCCCAAGGACCTGGGCCATCCTCCACTGCACTCCAGGGCCACAGCAGAGAGCTGGCCTGGAAGAGGGGCAACCGGGACAGAATCCAGTGCCCCTACCGGGACTAGAACCCAGTGTGCCGTTGCCGCAAGGCGGAGGATTAGCGTATTGAGCTGCAGCACCGGCCTCCATATCTGTTTTAATACAATCAAATATCTCTCTAATTACACACTGGTCAGAGAATAACTATTCTCTCAATTCACAATTTTCCATCTTAAAGAGATTTTAGGCATCATACTGGCTAAGTCACCCTACATACAAACGAAGGTATGATTGAAAATAAAGCCAAAATAATTATCTTTTATACAAACTATTGGAAGGCACAAAAATGCTAACCTTGAATCTAATGGAAAGCAAAAAGAAGCAGATAAAAAGGGAAGAGAATTAAGTCACACTCTCTGGAAAGCTTTCTTAATTTTCACATGAATTTCCAAAACACTGAAAAAGCCAAAACATTTTTTTTATTATTTGTACTTGGCTCCCTATTTATTTGGACATATATGAAGCATTAATGGGTCACTGTTCAGGAACAGAGGAAAATACACTGTGAAGCAAAAACCATTTTTTTAAAATTATTTATCCCTGGCTTCCCTTTTATATGGGCAAATATGAAGCAATAATAGATCACTGCTGGGGAATGGAGGCTTACTATCAAAGACAACAACATTGCAATTCTGTTCAGTTACTTAAAATCACTATAATCATAAACACCCTGGAGGGTACCAGAAACAGCACCGCTTTTCTTCAAAACAAGAAGGTAAGACCCACTTTGATAATACAATCTTACTCACATACTTAATTCTAGATTCAATGCTGCTGCTTCTTTTTATAAAGAAACAAGTATTTTCTTTCAATTTTTTTAAAATTACAAATGTACCAATATTACCAGTAATTCAGTCATATTCACTTTAACTTGTTTAAGAATCAGGGAGAGGGAGAGAGAGAGGGAGAGGGAGAGGGGGAGGGGGAGGGGAGAGGGGGAGGGGGAGAGGGGGAGAGAGAGAGAGTATATCTTCCATCTGCTGTTGAGAGAGAGAGAGTGTGTGTGTGTGTGTGTCTATCTTCCATCTTCTTGTTCACTCCCAAAAATGACCTCCACAGCTGGGGTAGGCCAGGCCAAACCCAGGAGCTTCCTCTGGGTCTCCCACGTAGGTACAGGGACCAAAGCATTAGGGCCATCTTCTGCTGATTTCCTAGGCGTACTAGCAGGGAGCTGGATTGGAAGTGGAGCAGCTGGGACTTCATACTGTCTCCATTGCCTTGTAGGGTCTGCAGTGGCAGGAAGCTGCAGTGAGGAGCCAGAGCCAGGCATTGAACTCAGACACTCTGATACGAGACTCGAGTGTCATAATTGGCATCTTAATCACCAAGACAAATGGAAGACATTACTAATGCTTATTAATCTAACAAATACGTGGCTTCAGACAATGAAACACTGACACTTAAGGTCTAATGAGTAAACTTAAGGAGTGGACCATAAGAGATCAAGAACCACAGGCACCTCTCTGTGAGCACCATTTATGGGCTGACAGACTTTTTCTATAAAAGACTAACCAGTAAGCATTGTAGGTTTTGCAGACCATGTGGTCTTTAAAAACACTCCACTCTGCCACTATATAGTGAAAACTACCATAGACCCTATGTAATGAATAAACATCATTTTGTCCCATTAGCTTTTTTTTTTTTTACAAAAATAGGCATTAGTCCATAGTTTGCCAACCAGTTTAGGGGTTTAATTATCTTCAGCCAAAATTACCTAGTTCAATAACTTTGATCAAGATCATTTATGTGTTGACTTACCCTAAGTTCTCCTAGGCAGTATTTTATACTCATATTCCACTATCCTTACAAAAGTATTAAGTATGGGGGCAAATTAAATTTTGTCAACTTGGCTTCCCAGTGGTGCCCCGATGTTGATTAAACATGATCCTTGATGCTATCAGGAATGTATTTTATAGCTGTGATGAGCATCTAATCAGTTGACCTGAGGTAACAGAAATACACTCTGCAAGGTAGTAGGGCACATTCCATTACTGGAAGCTCTAAGAATAAAAACCAAGGAATCTCAAATTAGAAGGGATTGTACAACAAGATTGTACCATAGAAATCCTGCCTGAGTACCCAGGCAGCTCTACAAATCATGTTTGTATCTTCATCCATAATTACATTTATCCTATGAGTTCTATTTTTCTGGGATCTGATAGATATAGTAAATTAAGACAGCATGCCTTGGGGCAGGTGCTGTGGTATAGGACGTAAAGCTGCAGTGCTGGCACCCCATATGAGTGCCAGTTCAAGTCCCAGCTGCTCCGCTTTTGATTGAGCTCTCTGCCATGGCCTGGGAAAGCAGTAGAAGAGGGCCCAAGTCGTTAGGCACCTGCATGGGAGACCAGAAGAAGCTCCTGGCTCCTGGTTCCAGGCTTCAGATCCACCCAGCTCCAGCCATTGGAGTTGGTGGAAGATTTCTCTCTCTTTCTCTCTCTTTCTCTCTCTCTCTCTCTCTCCCCCCGGGGTGTGTGTGTGTGTGTGTGTGTGTATGTGTGTGTAACTCTGCCTTTCAAATAAATAAATAAATAAATTTTTTTAAAAAACAAAGGGCCTGGCACTGTGACACAGTGGGTTAATGCCCTGGCCTGAAGCACCGGCATGCCATATGGGTGCTGGTTTGAGACCCAGCAGCTCCACTTCTGATCCAGCTCTCTGCTATGGCCTGGAAAAGCAGTAGAAGATGCCCCAAGTCCATAGGGCCCTGTACCCACATGGGAGACCCGGAAGAAGCGCCTGGCTCCTGGGTGCTGGTTCGAGACCCAGCTGCTCCACTTCTGATCCAGCAATCTGCTATGGCCTGGGGAAGCATAGAAGATGGCCCAAGTTCCTGGGACCCTGCACCCATGTGAGAGACCTGGAAGAAGCTCTTGGCTCCTTGCCTCAGATTGGTTGCAGCCAACTGGTGAGTGAAATATCAGGTGGAAGACCTCTCCCTCCCTTCCTCTGTCTCTCTCTCGCTCTCTCTCTGCCCCTCCTCTCTCCGTGTAACTCTGACTTTCAAATAAATAAATAAATCTTAAAAAAAAAAACAGGAAGCTGCTGGCTCCTGGCTTTGGATCAGCACAGCTCCAGCCATTGTGGAAGATGGCAGAACAGTGAGGGCGTGCACCGATAGTCCGGGAAAAGATAGTTTAATAAAAGTGGAGTTACAGTAGCCTCAGGAAAAGGATCAGGAAAAAATTGCAGAGGAAACTCTTCCAGATCTAGTGGATGTGACACGGAGGACCTACGGGGAGAGCAAGGTCGCCGACCATGTGGAAGCCGAGCCGCTGGAGCTGCGGGAGCTGCGGGAGCCATGGGAGCCGAGCCGCAGTCTACGTGCTAGCGCTGGAAGGGGAGGTGGGACCAAAACCTCTCGGTAACCCAAGACATTGGTGGGGAAAGGCAGAAAAAGCCTGCAGAGAACAAGGCCTGAAGCACCACTGGGGAAAGTTCACCAGGCTGACTGGAGGAGAGAAAAAATCGATTAAATAAGGGGAACCGGCATGGATATTAGCCTCTCTCTCCACTCACCTTACAAAGCCGAACAAGACAAAGGGCAGGCGCCATTTTACATATGTAAAACGGCGTGCACCATTTTGCTTATGCAAAGTGGGTGCCCCTCATTAACCAAGCAGAAAAACCTGACTCTGGTGGGGAGAAATAACAGGAGGTTAACACCTGATGAAAGTGTGGGGCTAACCAACTGAGACTGTAAAAAACTGGGGGGGGGGGTGAGAGAACTCACCGAGTACACAAACTCGGTAACCCAGGCAACCTGGTGTGAGACTGGGGAGAAAATTGAGACCACACTGAGGGCTGCATAAACTCTGTGTGGTCCCAGCGGTAAGCAGACGAATACACATAAGGCCAGATTTCATATATCAACTACCTTCAATTCCACTCAGTTGTGTAGAATTAC